GGGGGGGGGGGGGGGGGGGGGGGGGGGGGGGGGGGGGGGGGGGGGGGGGGGGTAGGTTGCTGTCGTTAAATCGCTTTGTGAGCGTCGCAACGAACGCTAAATGACTGCACCCACCCACCCACCCACCCACCCGCGGTAGAGAAGCGAACCGCTTCGTTATGTCGCGCCCCCGCTGCTAGAGGCGCTGACAGGTAAACTAACCCAAAGGAGATGATCGGTGCAGTATGCGGGGCCCCCGCTGCTACTAGTAGACGCCCTTGACAGCCATAAACAAGCAGAAGAGGTGGTCCGTGCAGCAGTATGCGGAGCCCCCACTGCTAGACACGCTTGACACGCTGACAGGCACAGACAAGCATTATGAGGTGATCTGGGCAGCAGTACGCGGGCCCCCTGCTGCTAGACATGCTTGATAGGGTGCGAACAAGCAATATGAGGTGGTCTGCGCAGCTGTAGTACGGACCCAAAAGCACGGACGAAGCGACCGTCACGTATGTATGAGCGAGCGTGAGAGTCGTCCGAGAAGGCGTGGGCTGGCTCTATTCATACTCGCCTTGGCAATCGTGTTGGGCTTACAGTCGACGAAATTGTTGTTCAAAAGAGAGGTTATAAAATGGAAGTTCGCGCGCTGCTTTAGTCCGGCAATACCAATTTTTATCACTGAAAGCTCTTAAAAGAAAAATAGATACGTATGTACGTTGAATCAAGCCCGGGGGTTTGAGAGCAACAGAGGGTAGTAGTCCAGATCGAAGCATGAAGTGTTGGTGCAGACAAAGTAGAGCCATCCGATACATGCCAAGGGGAACGGTCATCAACAGCTCCAAACAACAACAATCACGATAGAACGCTGTTGTTGTTGTTGTTGTTGTTGTTGTTGTTGTTGTTGTTTTCTCAATAAAAAGCCGTTCCGATCGCTCCACACAGTACCTGCATCTGTCCGTACGAATCTAGTACTTGACGCGGTCGATTCCCGGGGTCACAGGCTAACTTCCCCTACAAACAGGTACATATACAATGGACCCGATCAAAGACAAAAAAAAACGTGTGCAACGCAACGCTCACGCTTCCAACTCGGGGCTCACATGGGGATCTTAGGGTGGGCGCCGGATGCCAGTGCCTCCTGTCGGGCGGCAATCGCCGCCACCGCCGCCGCCGCCTGCTCTCGAGACGCCGGCAACCCGTACGGCATCGGGGGCAAGGAGGACCCACCTCCGCCTCCGGCGCCGCCGAACCCCTGGTAACCCCCGACCGCACCCCCGCCCTCCGCCGCCAGCGCCTGCTCCACCGCCGCCTTGGTCGCCGCCGCTTTCGCCGCCGCCGCCGTCGCCGCCGCCGTCGCCGCGGCCGAGCGCACCTGCTCCGCCAGGTGGTGCTTCTCCCGCTCCCGCTCGTGCTGCTCCCTCATCTGCAGCTCGACGTGCGGGGGATAGTCCGGCGTCGTCCCCACGTCGATCGAGTCCGGCTCAGCCGCCGGCGCCGCCGGCGGCGGCGCTGCCTCCGCCGCCGTCACCGGAGCCGTTTGCGCCCCCGCCGCCGTTTCTTCCGTTGTCGTGGGAGGCGTGTCCATCGCCGGAGGCACGCCCGGGATCGTGAAAGAGCTGGGAGATATTACGTTTACGGCGGGAGGAGGGGCTACTCCGCTGCCACCGCCACCGCCGTCGCCGTCGCCGCCCGCGGCCGCCGGATTGAACAACATGTCCGGCGGCGCGCCCACGTCGATCACCCCGCCCGTCTGCTGCTCCACCATGGCCGCCGCCATCGCCGCCGCGGCCTCCGCCGCTTCTTCCGCCGCCTTCATCGAAGCCTCCGGTGCCGGCGCCGGCGCCGTCGCCGCCGTCGCCGTAGCTGCTGGCGCGGCGGCGGCGGCCGTGGCGGCAGCGCTTGCGGGCAAGGCGATGCCGGCGGTTGCTACTGTTGCTGGGGGGGGATTAGGCATCGCCGCAATCGTCGTCTCGGCCGGGCCGTGAGACGGGGCCGGGACCTGGTGCAGAGCCGCCGCCGCCGCCGCCGCCGCCAGCTGGGAAGAAGCAGGCACGTCTTGCGGGAGCGGCGCCGTTCCCGCGGGGCCCACGGAGGACGGTGGGGCGGCGTGGAAGGCGGCAGAGGCGGCGGTGGCGGCGGCTGCGGCGCTGAAGGTTCCGAGGGGATCTGCTAGCTTGGGCGGGTTTCCGGGGACGGGGGTGGCTGTTTCGCCTGCAAGAACACCGCCGCCGGCGTGCTGGGAGGAAGGAGAGAAAAATAAACAAACAAATAAGCAAACGCGTTCAAGGGCGCCGACGATCAACAGCGTGGGACTTCGGTACATAATTATTTTGCACAGGGAGGGCGCGGTCAGCGGAGCTGGTTGCGTAGGGCCCACAGTACTAAAACGCGTCGCTCTTTTCCAGAAGATTCCTCCTCCCGACAGAGATGTGTGTAAAGGGCACAGACAACGACAGCGGACCCACGGGTGAAATTCATGCGACATGCCCTGATGTAACAAGCTCATGAACATGTGGGCGAATGCGCTGTTGTACTCTAGCTGATGCTATTGCTGCTCGCGCGCGGACCGTACGACTTCGGCACACGACTGCTCTAGTGGAATATCGGCGGTTCGGCTTTTAAAAGGCGTGGAAGAGGAGTGGCGTTGCATCCGAAGGTTCAGCCTTTTTCCAGTTGATTAGAGATTCTCACAAAGGCGAGAGGTCCGGGGTATTGCATGTAGGACCACGGGTCGAAGTACATGGCACAAGTGCTGCGAGCGCTGATTTCTAGTGACGGCAAAAAAAAAAAAAATGGGCGAGGATAAACGCCTGCATGTCAGGGATGCATGCATCCCTTGCGAGGTTTGGATAGTCTTCGATAAAAAAACTCTTCAGGTCTAGTCTATCTGATGTTGAACGCAGAAAGGCTAGATCCTTCACGCGAGCAAAAGGCTAGGTTCCTCACCCCAACCAATCCCTTAACCCTAACCCTCTCTTGGCACTATGAGCGTGGAAATCAGCTGACCAATGAAATGACGCGAAGCCCTCCAGCGGGATACAAACGCGAACAAGGCTCCATAGGGCATCCCCGGAGGAGAAACCCCGGAGCGGACACACGACAGCAGTGCTTCCACCACCACCACGCACAAGCAGTCAGCATGGCCGCTGCACTGCAGTGTACGTAGACTAGAAGTGTACTTGCTGAGAAGTTGTTGTAATGGGCGCTTGACCTTATTATCGCATATTAGCGGCATCGTGCGTCAAGCCGTGGAGAATAAGTGCCGGCATCAGCGTGCAAATCTTCCAGCCCTTCCGCTTTGACCAAGCAGCCGGCTCTACGGTCCTCCGCAGAGCTTTCGCGGAAAAAGGCTAGTCTATACACTGCTCGTGCTCTATTTTGCAGGTATAAAATGGTGGGAACAAGTGCGAGGAGCATTTACTCAAGTACTTCAGCACAACACGCTCGTTCCTTCTCTCTACCCTGAAAGGGTTACGTCTGAAGAGCCCAATGCAGCCTACGCGTAATCAGGCAACCGTCAACTGCTGGTACACACGCATCCGGCGGTCTTGACAACCAGCAGACCAGCAGGGTTGTAATATGTGCAACCGAGGCCGAGAGCCAAAAACCCGGACACAACTGAGGAGCGCCAGCGAGAAGGAGGCTTGTCAACAGCCGAAGATTTTCTCGGCGAAGGTGGTGTAATTTACGTCGATCAGCCGGATGGCACGTGTTGACAAGCGACAAAATCGTTTCGATGAGACTACTACGTTAGCCCTCATCCCAGAACCGCAGCATCTCCGCTGAATCCTGGGATTGGGGTGTGCGCCGTGCGGTGAGGGAAAAGATGGCTGCTGTGTGTTACTCACAGGACGCCGCCGCCTCCAGCCCGACCACCGCGCACGGTAAAACAAGCCGGACGCGGGCATTTTTCTCTCAATAGCCCCGAGAGAGAGAGGAGGGCTCAAAACCTTCGAGCTTTCGATCAGAACAGGGCTAGCTCACCGGTGTGTCTGGTGGGACGGCGCCTCCGCCATGCGGGGCCGACATGTTTATCGTTGGTCTATTTTTCCCAAAGATCTCGGTGCTCTCTCTCTCTCTCTCTCCCTGTCTCCCGATGCTGCTCGGCTCTCCCTCGAAAGCACAGCCCCTTTGCTATCCCTCTCTCGCGTTGACGCCTCGACGCAACGGAGACAGCCGTGGGGTTGAAAAAGGCGGCGGAGCCAGACAAACGTAGGCCGAGCCGCGGCCTCCGACGCTTCGGTAGATCTGAGTCTAACGTGCCAAACAGCCCAGGGATGATTACGACGTCGGCGCACTGATCTCCGGGACGGCAGTAACGACAAATCGGTTACTCAAAGCTTGCCCCCACACATGAAAAAATAGACAGCGAGAAAAATGACTTGATTTTCGACAGGTACGAATCATCCCCTGTCCCCAGGGGGGAGTTCCAGTGTACTTTTGCCACCGTAGAGAGGCTCTGCACGCACAGCCCGCATCCAAACCCAACGGCCTACAGCAGTATTGTACCGCAATATAGGGCGACAGGGTGGAAGGCAGTGGGGAAGCCGAACAACAGCGAGTTTGTGCGTCTTTCGCAAAGGGTCTGCTCTCGCTTTCCCTGTCGACAAAGGCGTCACCATCCTCGGCCAGGCACTCTCTCTCTCGCGCGCGCGATGATCCGGCGGGCGTTGCTGCAGCAGCACGCCGAACTTCCCGTTGCAGCAAGGCGGGAACTTCGACGGGCGCTAGGCACTACAGCAGCATCTGCTGGAGGCGAAAAGGTGTCTGCGTGTGTCTGTTTATGTATGTATCTATGTTATTGGTGCTGGCTGATGCTGCTGCTACTGCGGGTGATGTTGCATATGCAGACTTGCATTGAACAACATCATTGCGATGTCCTGGTTGGCAACAACTTCGCGAGACTTTCGTTCTCTTTTCTTTTTCCCAGGAACGCCGAAGATCGAATGTCGTACATACTCCTTCGAGTGTAGTTATACCTCGAACGGGTAGTCTTTCTGTATGAATATTTGTTTCTCCTAATACTGGACCTGTCCGTTGGGCTGTTATGGGACACTGCTGTTGTTGTGGGATCGTCTCCACGCGGTGCAGCTGTTGACAGTTGTGACGCTCGAGATGTGTCACCTGTGGTGCACGGATTTGGTTCACAAGCTGCCGCTTTGTCGCCATTCGGTAGTCAAACTCATGCACACACACGTTAGGGCTAAGACTATTATAAATAGCAGCCATCGCCGTTGGATATGGTAGACACCACGCAATCTTGGGAGATGTACTGCTGTTTGTACTGGGGTAGAAATGTATCTGACACACGCATTTTTCCGCATAGCTCCGGTGATGCTGTATTTACGGCTCAACACGAGCCCCAAAAACGTGGAGACGCTCTGGGAACAAGCGAAGAGGTGGCGGACAATAAATGCCACCCCAACAATGATCATCGTCACGAGAGGGGTGTTACATTGCGGGTAAATATGCCGCAGGAACGGGAAGTGGTACGCACGTGTACATGAGCTGCTGAGATCGGTATGTGTGTGCCGAACCACTCTACCACCCAATATAACGTGTTGCACCACCGGCACATCTTGAAGCCCTTGTACGATGCGTTGCGGCCGGGTATGCGTAGTATTCACCGTGCAAGCCGCGACATATCCTCAGCTCGGATTCGATGTGCCTACACCTTGTGCTGATAGCTTGGTTCGAATTATGCACAGCAAAATAGTTCGAAAGCATTCGTTTTGCACATCATGTCACCTCGGGAGAATTTGGTCGGTGTGAGTGCGAACTACCGCGACAGGACCACCCCAAATAGTAGTCACAAACCCACCGCCGGGCAGTCACAACTACTGCCTGCTGTTCGTTGATCGGACGCGCAACGTAGAACAACTGGTTCTCACGTGCAAGACTTTTTGGCGAAGAAGTTGATTTAAGCCGTGCAACACTTGAGCGCCGAAACAGAGCTTGAACGACACAACAATGAGATGCTACCGAAAACATGTTACACCTTGAGACTTGTCAACTGTGAACCTAGCTTTCGCGCAAAGGAGGTGCGGGTTCTGTGCGGGTCCATTTGTGTTTTTCCTGCCGGTGCACGGGGGAGACAAATCTCTGTGGGTAAAGTTTTTGTAGTGGCAAACCCACAAGACTTTCTTTCAGATTGCGCCACCTGTACTTCAGGAGCCTGCGGGGGAAAAAAAAACTCAGGCTGGGAAAAACAGAAAGCCAGCTTGACCGCAAGAACCGGTGCTCGGATCGCTAAAATCCTGTTGGGAAAACCCCGTAGCAGAGGAAGCAAAAAAAGCAGCCTCGGGCAAAAAAATGCAACGAGGTTCTCAAGTGGTGTACCGCCGTGATTGACATCCAGCAGTAAAATAGTACCAGGTATGCGGCAATGAACCGTTTCGTGGTGTACTTCAACTGGAACGGTCTTCGTGGTGTTGTCGGCGCCCGTCCCTCTGGTGCCCGCACGCATACGCAGAGGGGTTCGGCCGGGAGTTCTGCGGAGGCCGAGGAAGTCGATGGGGAATTGCGGTGGAGATACCACCGGGGGGTCCCTGACCGTCACCAGGTGGGCGTACCGGGGGTGCTTGTGTGTATTTGTTGTGTGCGGCCGACTAGCATTCGGGGAGCGCGGGGCAGAGATGACAGGTACACCCCCTCAGCCCAGCCTGGTCGCCGACTATCCGGCGTGATGTGACACGACGTTTTCGTTATTCCAGTTCTTACGGCCTGCTGAAGACTGCCACCTGGTATGATTGGTAGAATCCCCCCCCATCCGTCATCCAGCAGAGGATACTCGCGAGAACGATTATCATGTTGTTATGCTGTTGTTATTTTTTTTTTTCGTCACTTACATAACCCATATTTTTTTGCTGGAAACAGGAGCTGCCGACGTACGTGCGGGATCTGGGGAAGCCTGTGCTGTTGGACCCGCTCGTGAACAAGGGTACGGCGTTCTTGTGGTCGGAGCGGGAGCGGTTCCACCTCAGNGGGTCGCGGGGGAGAATGAGTGGCGGGGTGCGTAACTGCGTTGAGAGAAGCTACGTCGGCGGCGGTTGTTACCGACAAAGACGCCGCAAACGGAGCGGTGCCAGCCCCTCCCCCCGTTCTCACCAACACCTCACCACTCACCTGTCCAACCACATCCCTGGTGAAGCCGGCCGCTAGCTGTTGTTGCCGCGGTTGTTGCTGAAATCCACCACCACCACCGTATACCGCTACTTTTTGAGGGTTGTTCATTTTCCTTCTAGCCTTGCTCACAAGAAGTGCCGGTTCTGTACGGGTCCGCTTGTGTTTTTCCTGCGGGTGAGACAGGGAACCACATCTCCGCAGCGAGCGTTGTTTGCTTTAAAGCCACACCTCCTCTACAGATCCACTGCACTTTTATAAGCCTGACGGGTGTCAAGAACGTGAGGCTGGCAGAAAACAGAACGCTGTCTTGGCAACAAGAACCGGTGCTCGGATAAATAGAGTCCTGTTGGGATATACGCGATAACAGAGGAAGCAAGAGCACGAGCCTGTAAAAATATCGCAGCTTCTTACGTGGTGTAGCGCCTTCTGGACGCATAGATACATACAGCCAAAAGCACTTTCGGGTGTGGGAAGCGTCCTCCTATATTTTCGTTTTTGTTTTATTTTGATCGCTTTCCGAGGGCTCGTTTCTCGAACGGTCGGTGCGGTACCTGTTATTTTCTTTTTATCATTTTGTTTTCTTTTTCCGAGTGGTTTGTACCCTGTTTTTGTTTTGTTTCCCCGGGGCGTCGTATGTGCCGGGTTTTGAGACCCCGGGCTTCCCATTTTTTGTGGACTATAGAGCTAATGTGAGAAACAACAACAACAACAACAACTTTCGTCGTGTACGTGATTCTCTTCTTGACTACTGGAACGGTCTTCGCGGTGTTGTCGGCGCCCGTTTCTCTGGCGCCCGCACGCATACGCAGAGGGGTGCGGCCGGGAGTTCCGCGGAGGCCGGGGAAGGCGACGGAGAAGTGCGGTGGAGATACCACCGGGGGCTCCCTGACCGTCGCCAGGTGAGCGTACCGGGTGTGCTTGTATTTGCTGTGTACGGCGAAGCTTTAGGAAGCGCGGGGTAGAGATGACGGGTACCGCCCATCGGCCCAGCCTGGTTGCCGATTATCCGGCGTGATCCGCCGCAGCGTTGTCGAATTCCAGGGTCTTATGGCCTGAAGACTGCCACATGGTATGCATATGATTGGTAGAACCCCACCGGTCATCCAGCAGAGGATACTCGCGAAAATAGTTTGTTGTTGTCGTTGCTGTTTTTGTTGCTGTAATTTGTTTTTTTCTTCACTTACATAACCCGTATTTTTGCTGGAAAGAGGAGCTGCCGACGTACGTGCGGGATCTGGGGAAGCCAGTGCTGTTGGACCCGCTCGTAAACAAGGGCACGGCGTTCTTGTGGTCGGAGCGGGAGCGGTTGCACCTCACGGGACTCCTGCCCGCCCGCATGGTCACCATGGAAGAGCAGGCAAGCACACGGCAGGACTGCCAGAGTATTGCCGAGGTTTTCTTTTTCTGTTTTATGGAAGAACCGTCCAATGGGAGAGAGAAGGCAAATGTAGCAAGCAGCAGCAGCAGCAGCAGCAGCGCATAGCGTAAGTACTCCTATATATNGCGGGAGCGGTTCCACCTCAGGGGACTCCTGCCCGCCCGCATGGTCACCATGGAAGAGCAGGCAAGCACACGGCAGGACTGCCAGAGTATTGCCGAGATTTTTTTTTGTTTTATGGAAGAACCGTCCAATGGGAGAGAAAAGGCAAAGGTAGCAAGCAGCAGCAGCAGCAGCAGCAGCAGCTCATAGCGCAAGTACTCCTCTATCTCCATATTTCCTGTACGAGGGTAGGAACCGCCCGCAAGAGAGAAGGGCAAGAAAACACCCGTCGGCGCGTCAGAGTACTACAAGAGAACACGAAGATATGACCCCTCCACAAAGATGTCACGCCCCACACAGCNATTTCCTGTACGAGGGTAGGAACCGCCCGCAAGAGAGAAGGGCAAGAAAATACCCGTCGGCGCGTCAGAGTACTACAAGAGAACACGAAGATGTCACACCCCACACAAAATGCCGCACCCGGTGGAAACATTTTCACGGGTCGACATGAGCCCAAACCATGATTGGGCGAAAACTAGATGTGACACCCCCCACACAAATTGAACACACCGAATAGGTGATTGTTTTCGTTTGGAGCCAAACTGTTATCACCGGGGTGTCTTTTCCTGCGTAGTATACGGTACACCACTGTTTAGCATTTTTTAAGAAGTAAGTTCATGTTTNATGCCGCACCCGGTGGAAACATTTTCACGGGTCGACATGAGCCCAAACCATGATTGGGCGAAAACTAGATGTGACACCCCCCACACAAATTGAACACACCGAATAGGTGATTGTTTTCGTTTGGAGCCAAACTGTTATCACCGGGGTGTCTTTTCCTGCGTAGTATACGGTACACCACTGTTTAGCATTTTTTAAGAAGTAAGTTCATGTTTTTTGTTTGTTTGTTGTTCTCCCATCATTGGACTCTGTCGTCTGCCCCTCTGGCCCCTATCCTCCACTTCTACCAGCTAGACGACCCAACCGGGGTCACATAGGAGGCGGGGGTAGGACCCCCTCCTGCGGTTCTTGCCTGAGGTATTTTTTTTGCGGGAAGGGTACAGCAACCCCTTCCCTCGCGACTTACGAAGTCGATTATGGTTTACTAACAACAAGCTTTGCAGCGCGTCGCTTCCAACGGAGACCAGGATTTAATAAGCGAGAAAAAACTCACTCTGTCGGGACTCGAACCCATGACATGGCCCTTAGCAGGCTGCGAGGCTACCCACTAGACCACCGGGGCGACCGGTAGTGTGTGGTCGATGGAACCGCCCGCGGGAGAGGCAAACAAGGACAGTAGGTGGCGGCAGTACAGCACGCCACAGACCCCTAGGATGGTGGCCTGAGTAGGGCCCGGCGCGGGTCGACGGGTTCAATGACGAGGTGTGGGCAGCGGCCCAGTTTAGCTAAGAAGGATGGCCATGAGAGNATGTGACACCCCCCACACAAATTGAACACACCGAATAGGTGATTGTTTTCCTTTGGAGCCAAACTGTTATCACCGGGGTGTGTTATCTTGCATAGTACGTCATGCAGCACACCACTATATTTTCGCAATTTTTGTGAAGGAATTCCATGTGCGGTCGAGGGAACCGCCATCGGGAGAAGAAAGGACAAGGACCCTAGGCGGCAGTGGCGGCGGCAGTACAGCACGCCACAGACCCGTAGCATGGCGGCCTGAGTAGTGCCAGACGCGAGCCGGCGGGTGGGCAGCGGCCCAGTTTAGCTAAGAAGGATGGCCATGAGATTGTGTGTATCGTGGGTGCATGCAGCAACTCCCGACCCGACCCGACCCGACCCGAACCCCCCACCCCTTTCCCCGCTCTGGCACATCTGCCGATCCTCCCTTACCGGGCGCGGACGCNTGGTGGCCTGAGTAGGGCCCGGCGCGGGTCGACGGGTTCAATGACGAGGTGTGGGCAGCGGCCCAGTTTAGCTAAGAAGGATGGCCATGAGAGTGTGTGTATCGTGGGTGCATGCAGCAACTCCCGACCCGACCCGACCCGACCCGAACCCCCCACCCCTTTCCCCGCTCTGGCACATCTGCCGATCCTCCCTTACCGGGCTGCGGACGCGTTCCTTTTCGTCGCATCGGTGATCCTTGCACACGGGCAGACTGCCAAGGTCCTCGAGGAGTACCGGTGAGCAATAACCCACGCCCGCGGTAGGTTGGAGAGTGCGTCCCCAACACCAGACGGTGCGGGTTTTCCACGGGATGCATCAAATGGTATGCGCGGTTTTTGGCATTGGTGCCACCGCCGTGGAATGAATGATTGTAAAACGTTGAAATATTTGCTGGTCTTGGGCGGAAGATACCACGGGGGGTTAGGACTAAATACCAAGCGCACAAGCCCGAACAGCCTCCTGCCCGAGGTAGTGATGATGATGGTGCCGGACCTGTTCTTCCGAACGCTTACAAAAAACAGGGAGGGGTCGTGGGACAAGGCGGCGCGGGACCCCAACGACGAGATGGTGCACGCCGGCCTCACGCCGGACAACATCCGGAAATGGGAGTACCTCAAGGGCATACAGGGGCAAAACGAAACGGTGGGTTTGTTGGGTAGGGGGTGCTTATTATCGTCAGAGGCTGCGGGTTTATAGGTTGACTCATGACCTTGGTTGTTGACTTGTGAGCAGGGCGCGCTAGGCAGGAGGGGGATCGCTTTTACAAACACCTTTCAACGTCATGCACGAAACCCCCTGGATCTCCGTAGATTCGTGTCTAGTGCTGAGTACACACCTCACAGGGCAGTTCTTTGTCTTGCGTGTGCTCGCGCGAACCGGTGCTGGTGACAGGTTTCGTTGTTTGGTTTTATTACGTCACGACTTTTCTGTTTTCAAAGTGCTAGAATCGGCGTCCATGACATGCAATGCATTCGTTGTGTCAATGCTAGCCTTTACACTGGTGGTCCCCATGGGATTGTCACTTCTCGTCGAAGAAGGGTTTACGGTTATTGGTTAGGCATGAATTGGCAATCCCATGAGGACCAGCGCAAGATGAATCCATAACCTGTCATCGCTGCCGATTCTACCTCGCTGAAAACATGCGCGTAATCGCTGAAAGACAAACCGTTGAGGTCATACCACACAGCTAGCAGGGGGTACGTGGCAGTCTTTGCAGCTTTTTTTTTTGTTGTGGCCCCGTTTAGTCGGTTCAGGGGTGGAAGGCACGCCCACACCAAGCTGTAGCAGATGTGTTTCTGTGAGTACGATCACCGCAGCAGCATGCTGTCGGCCGATGCCTCGCTGTTCTCATGAGCCGCCCCCCCTGTTCTTGTTGGATGTGTTTGCGTTGGTTGTTGTTGGCCGGTTGGCCTCTTGGAAGTCTGTTTCGTCTCGCTATTGTTGTGTGGTACGAACGAACGAGTAACCGCGTTTTGGTTTTCAGTGGCTCCCCCCCTACACGCAAATACAAAAACGACAGAAAACAGCACCTTCACCCCCACCCACCCACCCGCAGGTCTTTTTTGTACATGCGCAGCCGCCGACCCCCCCACCTCTTCAACCCAGCCACCCCCACGCGCCTGTTAACATGTTGTCGGCTTGTACGTAGTTGTTCTTCAGTGTGCTTATGGACAACTTCGCCGAGGTGGCTGCTGAGGAACACGCACCGACAGTCTGCTGGGGCTGCCTGAAGTTCTCCCGCATGTCCCAGAGCCCCCCCAATCGTTTCAATCCTGTCACCCCCGCGTGCCTGTTCATGTGTCGTCTGCGTGTACGTAGTTGTTCTACCGCGTGCTTTTGGACAACTTCGCCGAGATGGCCTCCGTGGTGTACACCCCGACGGTAGGGTGGGCCTGCCTGAACCTCTCACGCATGTTCCGGATCGCGAGGGGTATGTACTTCTCGGCCAAGGACCGCGGGCACATGGTCTCCATCGCCTACAACTGGCCCAGCCACGAGGTGATGATGGGTTGATGTATTAGGGTTGCCGTAAGGGTTCTAGTCGTTGGTCGTTGTGGTTGTTCCTGAATGGCGTTGCTGTTGCAGAAGGGTTGGATTTGTTAGTCGTTGGTTGGGTGTAGTTGTTGCTAAATGGACGGATTTGCTGCCTTTTTCAGCTTCGGCAGCATCGGTTTGCCTAATCATCAAGTAGCCGCCATGACAACCACCACCATCAACAACAGCAATAACCACACCCATAACAACCGCCTCCATCGGCGACCACAACAAACAATAACAAACGATGATCGGACACGGCTGGCCGGCCACCACCTGGTCCCGTTCAGGTGGACGCCATCGTCGTCATGGGCGGTTCTAGGATACTTGGGCTTGGAGACGTGGGCATGAACGGCATGGGCATCTCGATCGGAAAGCTAGACCTCTACGTGGCGGCCGCGGGCTTCCACCCGGCCCGAGTGCTCCCCTGCCTCATCGACCTCGGGACCAACAGCAAGAAGCTTCTGGCGGACGATAGGTTACAACGGAGCGTAAGCTTATGCCTATGCCGAAGCCTACGCGAAAGCTTCAAGCGTTGAGCGTTAAGCATAAACGTCGACCGTTAGGCGTAAGCGATAACCTATAAGTGATAAGCGTAAGCGGTAAGCGTTAAGCGTAGACGAATGCGCAACCGTAGGCCTAAACCTGGTGTTGAGCGTTAAGCGTCAGCGAATGCCTAAGAGTAACAGCAGGCGAAAGCGTAAGCGTAACCGAACCGTAGGTGTGCACTTTCTCTGCTTTCCGTAGGTGTGTCTGCCACCGTCGCTCTCAGTGTGTCTGATTCTGTCTACCATACAGAACGGTCTTGGCTTCTCTCCCGAACAGCCACAACACGGTGCGGGGTCATGTGGAGGAGAATTTTCATCCCCCCGTGGTGCGGCCGAACTTGGCGTATCCTACGTTTGGTTTCGACCGTGGTGGCTGGTGGACGAAACCTCGACAGTTTGGTGAGCCCGTGCCAACCAGCGCGACCACATGCGCTCGTAGCTGATGATGGATAGAATGTGCAATCGCTTCTACTCCACGGGCTTCCCCTGAAGAGGGGGGGGGGGACCCAACAGAACGTCCGGCCCCCGGTTTCAGAGTAGTACCGAAGGTGTACAACGGGGCTAAGCAATGCATTCCGATCTGTGTGTCTCCTGCCGTTTCACCGCCCCAACGAATCAATATGTTCATCGATACGTAGACTAGTCATGACGGACTCGGAATCTGTATCAATTTTCATGGCTATTGGTGGTAGTGGCCGTGCTGCTGCTGCTGCTGCTGCTGCTGCTGCTGCTGCTGTTGTTACACTTGTTGCTGTTGATTTTAGTGCTGTTGCTTCCCTGTGCCGGTCCGTTTCCGCGTCTCTTTTGTCTTCTTGTTTTTCTGTACAGCTACCTCGGTCTTAACCAGGAGCGGCCAGATGGAGACGAGTACCTCCAGGTGGTGGATGAGTTCGTTGCGGCGGTCAAGGCCAGGTGGCCAAAGGCCTTGATTCAGGTAAAACCCGCGGGTACTGCTGTTGCTGCTGTTGTTGCTGTCGATGCTTCTATTTCTGCTGCTGCTGCTGCTGCTACTGCTGCTGTACGTTGTTGCGTCATGTTGTTTTGTTGCTGTCCTTGTCGTAGAATGTTGCTGTTGTTTTGGTACACTGTACACGAGCGTAGCTGTTGTTACTGTTTTCGTCTCTCGCATACCATGTTGCATCTGGCGGTTGATAGCTGTTGCTGCATGTTGCCGGTGAGGTTGTTGTCCAGTCAATCGATGACGCACGTTGCCGGTGTCGTTGTTGTCCAGTCCATCCATGATATGGTGGTGATAGGTGTGGTTGTGCGAACAAGGTTTGGTCGTTCTCGTTGACACCTTGGCCTGCCCCGTAAGTGTCTCGCGCCGCGTTTTCGTCTCTTGGTTGCTGTTTTCTTTTTTTCCTAGGTTGAAGACTTCCGCACGGAGTATGCCAGCAAGCTCCTAGAGCGCTACCGCTACAAGCACCTCTGCTTCAACGACGATGTACAGTTTCGGTTCTGTTCCCGTTCTTGCTGTTGGTGGCAGGGCGGTTTGATGGTCTGCAGTTACGAATATTGGACGGTGCTACGACAAGACGAAAAATACACGAACGCGAAGAGGTAGAGGAGGAATTGAGAGTAACGACGAAACGAGGTAGGTAACACTACACCCGTACCTCCGACAGGACGCCGACAGCACACAGCACACAGCCCGCACCAACCAAGACCACACTGCTGCAGACCCCTCCTGGGCGAGACGCTGCGAACATACTACGCAGAAGAGCTCGAGCAGTCCGAAACCATCTCTTTCCCAAATCGAGAGACCGTTTCCCGCGGGACATCTCGCCTTCATACTTTTCGGGGACCCTCCTTGTTGTATGACGAGACCCTTCGTTGTGATCTTGCGGGACCCCCTCCTTGTGGTTTTGCTGGGCCTCTCTTGGTGATTTTGCGGGGTCCCTCCTCTTGTGTGTGTGTGTGTTTTTTTTTTTTTCACTTGGTTGCTCTGTCGGCTGATCGGTTGTCGTCGTCCTCATCGTCTCACCCCGTGATTTGGTCTGATCAGGGAACTGCAGCCGCCTCGAAATGAATCTGTTCATGGTTGTACCGGCGGATGCGTGGCTTGGAGTGCTGGAGATCCTTCTCAGGTTCCCAAGGAGGGCGAAGAAGACCTTTCCAGTTCGTTTGGTATAAAACACACGGTATAGGGCCACCACGACCACGAACAGACGGATGGATGTCCACTAATGCGTACGCGGTAGTAAGTATTGTCTGGTGCCTCGCACACGCGGCGGCGGTGGCGTCTTGTGTACCATGTTCAGCGCCGACTTCTTTCTTCTATGTCTCCTTTTTCAGGGTAACAGGCAGTGCCTACTTATTTCCTCTAGTTCTTCATTTTCAGCGCAAGACTCTGGCAACTTTCGTACCATTTTTTTTTTTTAAGTATCTCTCGTTCGTGATCTGTACTTTCCTCTGCTGGAATTTCATTCTCAGCTCCGGACGCAGGATATGTCTCTGATCTCGCGCTTGTCCTGTACAGTAAAGAAGACCACTACCCACTCTTTCCTCTCACCGGTGTGTTTTTTCTTTTTTTACACCTTTTTTCTTCCTTGCGTCTCAGGGAACTTTTTCTTCGCGTTTGGCCTTTTTTATTGTTGTTGCTCTATTTTTTTGCTCCATTTTTTTCCTTGCGTCGCGTTGTAGCGAACTTCTGGGTCATGAATGCGGACGGTTTGGTCACAGAGGCGAGGTCTTCGACCGTCGAGAAGGCGACTCGCCGATTCGCTAGGCCAACGGGAGGGAGAGAGCTGAAGGACGGCTCAAACGTGGAACAGGCAAGTTCATACGTAGAGATTTCGTAGAGTTTTGTACTGCTTTTGTGGCGGTTATGTTGTTGTTGTTGCTGTTGTTGTTGCCATTGCTCGTAGATCAGTCACCCATACAGTCGTTGCAACTCTTGAAATGCGACAGTATTCACTCGGTCCTGGTGGGACCAAAACGTGCCGGCTCACCCTCCCCTACTCTGCATAACGTCGAGGAAAAGCTTCATGGTTTCCCCTTCTCCCCCGTCTTCCCCCCCCCCCCCCNTGGCAACGACGTTGTAAGACAAGCCGCCCCCCTCGGTGTTTGCCATCGGGATTGGGTTTTCGTCGCTTGGCAACGACGTTGTAAAACAAGTCAATTCACTTCGTGAACTCGGCAACCAGGTTACCGTTTTCTTTTTTTTTGCCTCTTTTTTTGGCGGTAACCATAATGGTGGTCGAGTGGATCATGTTGTGCGGGGTCGAGAACCCTCACTCCGCGCAAGGGGGATGATCGCACCACTTTGTGTTACAATGGTCAAGCACCCTCGAGGCAGCTACACAGTGCTTACAACTGTCTCAGGAAGTGAAAGCACCAGAAAGTAAATTAAGTCATACGCAGCTGTCATCCGTACGCAAGGAAGTAAGCACAAGATGCCGAACACTCTTAGCAGGATGCAGCGCACCCTTCATGCGACTCGCCGAATATCTCACGGCGCTTCGCGCTTGGTGATGTGAGAGCCTGGTCCGGTGAGGACCCGGCGTGCTTCGTCCCGGCTTTGTAGGGATGCGAGGTCAATGGTCTAACGACTTCGGCATGCACGACTGTGAGTACACCCCCCCCCGTCTTTACACCATTCGGGCATGATTTTGTTTTTTTTGCTACGTGACAACGAACCCATCTCCATGGCTATCCACAGAGAATAGTCCAGGATAAACTAGCAAAGTAATTCATAGCGTCAGAGGAGGCACTACCTGCGTTTTTTTTTTTTTTTAACCGTTTCGTTCTTTTGCAGGTGGTGACAGAAGAGCGACCCGATGCTCTTCTCGGTCTCTCTGGCGCTGGTCGAATCTGGAGCCCGAAGACGATCCAGGTGAGACATGGTCTAAAATCTTGTTATGATATGATCGGATTTGATTGGTCAACCGGCCCGGCGGTGGTGAGTCCGTTTAGAAAAGGCGGGGTTGGTGGAAAGATTGAGACGAAAGTAGTTTTGCATGAAGTTCGATCGAGAGGTGATGACTGGCTGATATACGTACACAAGCTGATCGAGGGAAAGCGTTCATCCCAATTGGCGGTACTTGTCGATGGGGGTGATTCGATTGGTCCACTTGTCGATGCGGGTTTTACGATTGGTCGAATTTTCGGCGGACCAACACCTGTCTCACGGCCTCTTGCTGCTGCTACTGCTGCTCCTGGTGCTGCTCCTGGTGCTGCTCCTGCTCCTGCTGCATGTGCTCCTGCCGCCGCTGCTGCTGCTGCTGCTACCTGCAACTCTTTACTTGTGTTTCCTCGCAGGCTCTGGCTGAGGGTACAGATAGACCCGTCATATTCGCCATGTTCAACCCTTCCCACAAGAGCGAGTGCTCGGCAGAGGTGAGGGACATACCGTACTTGTTGTACAGCCATGGTTGTATGTTTTTCAAGCGTGGCTTGGTCGTGTATTGGTGGGCGAGAAGCCTAGCTTGCTTGATTTTCAACCAAGATCGCCCCGAAGCTCGATAGCACAACTTGCTTTCCTGTCTCACTACGACATCGTCGACACAGCAACATGGATGCTCATGCCTTGTTCACCCCTCCGGTTTTTTTTGACTCCCCGCATGCGCTGTCTCTCTCTCTCTCTCTCTCTCTCTCTCTCTCTCTCTCTCTCTCTC